GGTGAGTGTTTTTTGCTGCGGAAAGACATTTTTAGTGTTTGATGGATGAACTGTGAGGAGAATAATGACACCTCGTTATACCCATGTTTAACACTTAACAGATTGCTGTGATTTTAACTAAAGTTACTCCCATAATACACACAAAGTATCGTGAGGTGTAGGGAAAAGGTGGATAGGCTAAAATGTCATTAAAAAAAAGAAGTTATTTTCAATAATTGTTAAATCATGAACAACAAAAACAAATTGTGGATAGTGAAAGACTCGCTTTACATTTTGTTACACTTTATCAGGGGCAAGCCAGTAGTTTAGGGCCCTACGCACACATATTTTTAGTGCCTAAATTGCCAGGACCCTATGCACACTGTCCCCCTTTTCCCCCCACTAGTGACGCCCCTGCACTTTACATGTGATCTTTTGTGTGCTTCAGTCACAGAGCTGATAGAGCTGTGCTGTTCCAGTGTATTACCAGGAGGAGGCACCAACATTGAACTGGCTCTACATTGCCTTCATGAAGTACAAGGAAACATAGCGGTGAGCATCTATCAAACATTATAGCATGTTTTTTTAATTACAGTTTAGGGCTGCACAACATATCGTTTCAGCATCTATATCGCAATGTGTACATCCTCAAAAGTCAATAGTCAGAACTGTTCAGATTTGTGAATTTAACCATAATAGTAAAATTATGTTGTTTTTACCTTGGATTTGACATGTAATTATTTAAATTCTGAACCAGAACACAATAAAGCACTGTTTGTTTGTTTTTTTCAAGTTAAAATTCACTTTGATTTTTGCTCTCATGTATTTATCTATGATTATAAATAAAAATTTTGCATAATTTACCCCCTCATTGCATCCCCCATTAAAGCTGCTTGCTTAATACAATGAAGTGATTCAATTTAAAGGCAGCACTGGATTTACTGCTAATGAGAGGAGATTTTCGGACCCCCTGGCACCCTCTGAGTGATTACCACTACACAGGTACAAGCTCTATTACCCAGTTTCATAATATATTTAATATATTAAGTCCTTCATAAACTTGATGTTGGTCATTTCATTCGGTAGGGTCAGATCTTTGGACAGCTCAAGAGATGAAGATGTTCAAAAAAGCATTGGCTGACTTTGACAAGGACTTCAGACAAATTCATAATGTGGTATTAATATATATTATTATTTTTTGTTTGAGATTTTCTGTAGAAAGTTTAAGTGATCTCTAGCCATCTATAGTTTTATTTATTTTTTAATTTAATATGGCCATAAAATTACCATAAAATCTGAGCTGTATCAAAGAAATTTGTCACCATTTTAAATTTAAATGCTAGTCAATCTGACAAATACAAAATACAATTGAAGGCACAAATGTAAACAGTGCCTCAAGTTCTTCTGGTAGGTCTAAAAGTTATTTTCTTAACCCTCGTGTACTGTTCAAATTATCTACTCTTTCGTTATGTTGGTGGCTGTTTTTGACCTATTGACTTCCATTATAATGACATTTTTGGACTGCAAAGCAATTTGACATCAAATAATCATGGTGTTTTTCCTGTTGGGAAGAGGTAAAACTTGTGATTTTTACTGTTGATCATCAGTTGGCACCATTAGCCCTTTAAATAGTCCTGTACAAAAAAGTTTCTGACTTTTATATGGTGTTCTTTAGAGTAAAACAACAAATTATAGTGTGCGTGCATAAATACACTCACTGTGTTCTGAGAGCTGAGCTGCTTATTTTTTACTTTCTCAAACATATAAACATGCAAATGTCTCTCTCACACACACTATACTCCATTTAACCATATAATTTTAAGCCAAAAACTAAGCATTTTTTGCACTGTAACTGATTATCAACAGTAAAAATGGCACATTTTACCTCTTCTCAACAGGGAAAACCAGCAACAATCAAAAATGCATGATGTCATGGTGTCTTGGCTTTGCAATCAAAAAATGTCATAATAATGGAAGTCAATGGGGCAAAAACAGCCACAAACATAAAAAAGGGTAGTAAAATTTTAGCGTATTGTTGAATTTTTTAACACTTTCAAAGCATTTTCCCCAAGTTATTTGTCAAAATAAGATTTGTGACCAAAAATCATTGCATTTGCTGAAACAGGAAGAAAATTGTGGCCAAATTTAGACTCAAAATTAAAGTGGAGGGGTGATTGGGATGGATGGGATTGGGATAGTTTACGAGCTCGGCCAAGGACTCAAACTCAGAAGCCTATGAGGCTATCAGCACCAATTCAAGTATTTTTAAACATTTAATGCGATGAGTGGTTAAACTGGGAATTCAGAGGTTGTTGAGGACAGTAGCTGTGTTTTCATCCAAACATGTGAATTAACTTTATGCGCAAAACTGGATTATCAAATAGGAGACGTGCGAATAAAGCAGTGTTTTCATCTAATGAGTCAAAGAGAACCAAATCGTCACTTTCTGATTATCTGGCGCCAAATATCAACAGTAAAAACAGGATTTGCTGTGTAAATCTTTAGCTTATTTAATAAATTACTTGCACCTCAAAAAACAAATGTTGACACGCAATGAACGCGCGGTGGCATTTGAAGGCGTGAGACATGGAGCACAGATGCTCTTGATTCTGGAGGTCATTAATAATATAATAACACCAGTACTGAAACGGTAAGGCGTTTTTTAAAAATGACCAATACAACATTTCAGATTTTTTTAAATTTGGTCAGCCTGCTGGTTTGTCCATTCACACACATTTAAGGATCACATGACCTCTTATTACAAAATCACATGACCTTTTTTAATGCACATCCTGGAATTTGTTCGGTAAAAGTGTTTCCTTTCCCAGAGATGGGTTGCGGCTGGAAGGGCATCCGCTGCGTAAAAACCTGCTAGATAAGTTGGCGGTTCATTCCGCTGTGGCGACCCCAGATTAATAAAGGGATTAAGCAGACAAGAAAATGAATGAAAGTGTTTCCATCATAGTTAGCATTTTTTTCTCATTGAATTAAAAGTTTATCCTATTCAGTTATGTGCATACGCTTTTTTTATGTGCATTTTCATAATTGATGCACATCTTGGCGTTTCTATTAACTGTTTTTTATGCGCACATATACAAAACAAGCATAAAAATAGGTGGATGGAAACGTAGCTATTGACTATTGTGTGCTTTTATAATTGTGTTTATGCTCACACTCTTAAACGTCTTTTTGAAATCCAAATGCATTAGAATTAATCGTACAATAATTACGATTATTTTAAACAAAACATTTAAAAATCACATAAATTTTTTTGGTCACAGAACTTATTTTAGGGAGTTTTAAAAGCATTAAGTATAATGTCAACTTTCCGGGTTGGCCTACAAAAATACAATGCTGTAGCAGTCTACTAAGTATATTAAATGTCTCTAGATATTTATGCTTGTTTTTTAGTTACAGACCAAGTCAGTAGCCCAATGTGTGGAGTATTACTATACCATGAAGAAGGTGAAGAAGTTCAAGCAACGTGGCCGAACTGTAAACAAAAAAGACGGAGAGATCTTTGTAAGTTTCATTTCAGGGCATGGAAAAAACGTCAGTTAATTCTGCAAATACATCATGATGGTGACATTTGTACTACTGTTTTCCACAAGGTCTTCAAATGCTCCCAAGAGCTCCAGTCTGAGCAAACAGACAGAAACACAAAACAGAGGACAAAAGCCACTGAGGGCGAGATGAGTGCCAGGTTAGAAAAACTGCATCATACTGCACACTAGGCTTGTAACTTGTGCTAATTGCTGAAGCTTTTATCAGAATGTAAGGTATTATCATGATACTTACGCAAGTCAGTCAAAAAGTCAATTTTTAATATTTAAGTGCTGTTGAGCATGTACTTAAACAGTGGTGATTGGCCATTGTACTCAACAGATGTGACAGTGATTGGCTCTGAAGGTCATCACTTCACCACTGTTCGCCAAATGCGAACACAAATACTAGAGCATTTGAGAGCCACGTCTATTAGCTGATCCATCTATGAGCAGATATAGAGGACGTGCTGATAGACTATACCTGCCAACACGCTCACTTTTCCAGGGAGTCTCATGTATTTCAGACCCATCTCCCGCCACCCTCCCATTTTGTCATTTCTCCCGGAAAACTACCGCAATTTTACCCCACCCCAGTCCTCAGCTTTTTGGTAGTCTGTATCATCCCCTGGTTGCCAACTTTGGTACAGTACTTATCCGATAGCAGTGGCTGCCGAAACCTGGTCCATAGTACAGTTACTAACCCGGTTCTTAACTGTGTTATTCAGACAAACACACACCGGTACACCCCCAACATCCCAGTCTCCAAAAATTTCAGAGACAAATGTTGGCAGGTATGTGATAGAAAAAAAATCCTCCATTACACAACATGTCTCTTTTGGTTCCGTCCAAACTAACCAAGAGAACCAAACTACAAATGTGAACAAACCTTAATCTTTTATTTGTAGCTGTTATATGCAGTAATTGAAATTTTAAAGCATTTGTTTACTTCAAAATTAAAATGTACTCACTATTTACTTGCCTACAAGTGGTTTCAAACCTGAGTTTCTTTCTTCTGTTGAACACAGAAGATATTTTGAAAAAGCTTGAAAGCTGTAAACATTGGCTTGCATAGTGGTTGTTTTTTCTACTAGAGAAGACAATAGCTACCAGTTTCCAGCTCTCTTCAAAATATCTTCTTCTGTTTAACAGAATAAAGAACCCCATAAAGGTTTAAAACCACATGAAGGAGAATTCATTTTACTTTTAGGTGAACTATCCCTTCAAGACTTTTAGGTTTAATCTTGTGAAACAGTATGAAAACAGCATTTGTATTAAATAAATAACAGCCAATAGAAGCATTAAAACTCATCTTACCTTTTAAATCCAACAGAGCTGAGAAGGGTCACAGATCTCCCTCAGTCAGGATAGATACAAACTCCAGATGGTGGTGGGCAAGAAAGGACACCAGTCCGAGCAGTAGTCTGAAGTCAACTCAAGTCTCTTCAGTATTTGAGCAGAATCCTGTGTGAAGTGCATTTAAGACTACAGTAATGTTCAAATCATTATCCAGATACTTTCCTTCACACTGAATACAAAAAGCAGCCAAGTTTTAATTCATTTTTACAACCGTTTATTTGTTCTGACAGATTTTGAGAAGTTAACACTTTGAAATATTAATGTTAGGGAGTTAGGGTTGTCATGATACTGGAATTTGGTACCAATCGATACTGGAATTTTAAAAACGTCCATTTCCTGCTAAGATTTGAACGCTATTGAGCATGTTCCTAAAAACCGTTGATTTGCCACTGTGTTCACATGCTCAACAAAAAGGACTTTGATTGGCTGTTGAGGTCATCAGTTCACCAAACACACCACTGTTTATTGAGTGTAACCACAGACACAGGGACACTGGAGCGTTTAAAGTCACGTTGATCATCTGATTTGTTTTTAAGCTGACATAAGAGCAATCCCCTGATGAATTGCAGCTTTAAAACACTTCAGTGTCCCTGTATCTGTGGTTACACTCAGTAAACAGCGTTGAGTTTGGCGAACTGATGACCTTCACGGCCAATCACAGTCATTTCTGTTGAGCATGTGAACACAATGGCAAATCAGCGGTGTTTAAGAACGTGCTCAACAGCTCTCAAATGTTAGCAAGAAACGGCCGTTTTTTAAATTTCAGTGCCGATTGGTACTGTATTCCAGTATCATACAACCCTATAGTGAGTCTAGAAAGGCGAACAGTCATGCAAATATAACATTTTTGTTTGTTCACCTTTTAAGAGATTTTTGAGTTCGGATATTTTCAGTTCAGTATTTTCTCTCAGTTCAGATTGAAGCAACAATTCATACTTGCTATTACTTTCTTGAAGTAAATGTTATGTTTAAATAATTGTAGTGCACAAACTTTAATTCATTACCAAGCTAGTTTAAGTCACAAGTTTTCCAGTTTGTTCGAAATTATCTAAAATGTGTGTGACTTAAGGTTATCAAATAAATGTTATTTTACTATCGGGTGTTTGCTTTCATTAGTACCCTTTAATGGCACAAATGTTTCACTGTAGTATTGTTGTTAAAGCTTGTTAAAAAATGAGAACTGAAAAACCATTTATATTTGCAATTCCCATTAATATTTCATACAACTTTAACCTAAACATGCTACTGAGAGAATACAATGTAAATTCTACTGTCGCAGGTATGAAAAAAAATAGTGAATACCTCATGTACATATCCTTCGAAATGGTGGACAAAGATAAAAATTCAAGCATGAGGTTAACAATGAATTCATGTAATGCTTACACTAACACTGTAAAGTGACAATAGCATTGAAGTAACAGACTTTGTTTAAAATAAAAACACTTATTAGTCACTAATACAACAGTTACTACCTGGACTGGAATCTGATTGGCCAAATTTGTGGAGCTCTGAAGTGTATGAATGATGCAAAAAAAATTATAATAATTTATCCAAACTAGCAGCATGTTTAGTAATGCACGCAGATTGCGTAATTGGATAATACATAGTAAAAACCAGTTTAGTAAAACCCTCAGACCTCTTAGAGATCAAAGATGGTTTTAAATCATAGTGTCACAAATTCTTGGTACAAGGAATGACAAGGAAACCTTTTAAATAGCAGTTCAAGTATTCTTCTCTCGTAATCCTTGCTTCTAAATTCTACAGACGATTAAAATCATCAAATAACTTGATAAACAGACTTATTTTGGGATGTGATTAAAGTACACAAATGCAAATTTTACAAAATCAGTGATCATGACTCTTCCTCGGGAACACGGACCTTACTTTCATATGACACTAGAGTCTGGTAAAGACTTTCTCTGCTTTGGTTTCCACTGACACTATTCCACTGGTCAATTTCACGGGCAGAGGAGCCCCCTTTCAGCTGGTCCAGATAATCAGCGTTCTGATGGAGAAACAAAATATGGTTCAGGTGTTTAGATCCTAGAGTGGCTCTTCTTTGCGTAACTGGAGACTCCCTTGGGGCAAAGGCCCGATTGGCGGAAACAGCAGTTGCTGGAATGGACAGGTACTTTCGTGCCAGTCTGGCCACAGCTGGAAACCGATGCTCCTTGCTGCGCCACCACTGCAGAGGCGAGAGGCTGCGTCTGCACAGAGGCTCCGCTATATAATTTTCCAGCTGTTGGTGAATCTCAGGCATTCGCTCAGTAGGGTCTTCACCCAGAAGAATATCATACATGCTTTGTGGGAGAGGACTCATTCGTATCCGAGATGTGAGCTGCAAATCTCCTCTCACTGGGGAGGTCATAGTGGCCCCACTGGAACGTCTTTTACGTTCATTGGTGTTTTTAAAAGGTGATCCAACCTCTAGAGCATTGTCATTGACCTGTTCTGGTGATGATACTGCAACTGAGAGCTCGCTTGGCTGCAGCTCCACACTGTCACCTTCCTCCAGTGAGCCGCACGATTCAGGAGAATCCAAAGACCCCATTGGAGGAATTGGCAAGGAATCATCCAATCCGAAATCTGCAGGATCTCCGTGCTCATCCAAAGCCTCTTCCATTTCCATCCTTTGTCTTCTGTCTTCATTCAATCCCTCGTTGCTTGTGAAAGCCTGAACAGAAAGGAGCTCCTTAACCTTGTCATGCAGCTTGCTGCGAGCATGTGGACTGAGGAACCGCAACTCTTTAAAACGTGGGTCCAGAAATGAAGACAACACAGCAGGACAGTCCAGAAGAGCATCTTCGTCGCTCAGACTCCAGCGTTTGTCCATACCAGCACGAATCCTCTCCATAACTCCTCTCACCACTGGACAGGTGCAGTCTGCAATTTTCTGTCCCAGGAGCCGGGAAACTCCCTGGAGGCACGGCATTAGGGCTGAAATGGGTCCGTTGATGTCCTCGCTCAAAAACGATGCTGCAATACGAACTGTTTTTAGCACAGGGACCAGTTCGTGTACGAGGCGCCACTGGTGATCTGCCAGATTTGTTGCTATTTTTTGTTCCTCTAAGACTGAGCTTATTACCCACTTGAGCTCCAGCAAACTTTCACACATATCGATGGCGGTGGTCCAGCGCCCCGGGTCATTTAAGACCAGGGATGCTGACTCTTTGTTAACAGCCTCTGCTTTCTGGCTCAGTGCTGTAGAAGCGCCCACATTGTGTTGGAAGTGCAGGACGATGGCACGAGCATCTGCCAAAGCTTGTCTTACAGACTCCACACAAAGTCCCTCCTGGACACAGAGTTTTAGGGCCTGCCCTGCACAAAGCAGGGGTGCCCAACCCTTCGGAAGTTTTCTGGGAGGAGGATGGCTGGGTCCAGGAAATTCCTGCGGAAATTCCCGATCGATACTCTGCCTGGACTCAGAGTCACTGGGGGTGTCGTGCATCACACAGAAAACAGAGTTCTCTGAAAGCTGGAACTCAGAGAGGACTGCTTTCAAGGTATCTGCAAAACTTACTTGCCCTCTCTCAGATGGGTTTCCTTTGAGTTCTGCTATCGGTCTGGTCTCAAGCATGCAGCGTGCCAGACGCCACTGAGAGTCTATAAAATGGGCACTGACTGAGAGGTAGTACTGTCCATCCCCGCCAACCCCACATCCTTCTACAGATCGCCAGTATTCAGTGCAAAGGGTCATATAGTGGGAAGCCAAACTTGTCTGAAGATGCTGCTGAAGGCATTGCTTGAGGACGTGGTAGCGATGCCAAAGTAAGCTGCCAAGTAGAGATGGTGAAGGCACGGGGTAATTAGGCTCTAGGCAACTCAGTAAAAGCTTGAACCCTCTCTCCTCCACCACAGACAATGGCTGAAGGTCTCTAAAGACCATTTCCAAAATAAGGTCGGTCAACACTTCTGCTCGCTTGTTACTGCAGGCTCTTGTCCCACAGCGACTGCTGCTGCCTCCAGCAGTGCTGCTCATCTCCCCTGCAGGAAAATTATACATTAGACAGCCCATATCTGTATCCTGGTGTGTAATTGCATTTGAACCAGATGTACTGCTTCCTGGTGCACAGTCAGGGGCATATGATGTCCGGGCAGCTTTGGCCTCTCCCATCTCAGCTGGCAGTATTTCTTCATGCTCTTCTTTGACGGTAACAGGCAGCAATGGTTGAAATGTGACGTTGCCTGTATTGTTACATCTGTTACCATGTAAAGTGGACTGAATGTGAGAATGTAATGCTCCAGGAGTGGGGATCCCTGCGGTGTTGTGAGGGGGTACCACTCCTTCCCGAATGCTGTGTTTGCGTCCCAAGTGTTCTCTCATAGACGTAGTGCTGTTGTGAAAGGAAAGCTGTCTCTTACAATGGTTGCACTCGACACGATGCAGACTTAGCTGAGTGTAGTGGTTCCACACTTTTGACGTGCGGCGATCGGAAAATGGCAAGAAACGCTGCATTCTCCTGCGAAGAATTGGACTGCTGTGAATACCAGGATGCCTTGGGGGAGGGAGATCCATGTCTGTGGTAAAAGATAAACAAAAATGCATCTAAAATTAATAATTTGAAAGGTACAGGAGTTTTTTTTGTAAGATATAGATATGGCGCCCCTCATGCAGGCGTGCCCAAACTCAGTCATGGAAGGCCGGTGTCCTGTAAAGTTTACCTACAACATAGCTGTGTCCGAAATACATACTTCCATACAATATTGAAAGCAATAAAACAGTATGGTAGCCGAGTAGTATGTTCAAAATTATAGAATTTGAAAATCAGTATGCTAGAAGTACCCGGATGACTTACTACTTCCAGCGAGATTTTGAAGTGCACATTGGATGGAAGCTACACTATCCCATGATGCCCCGGGAGAGAATTCATGAATGGGAGGGAAGCAATGCAACTCACATGGATAGGTCACATGATCATGACAAAATGGATCCGCCAATTAGTATGGTAGTTCCATTTATACTGCTCACAATCATACTGTATGGAACATACTTTTCTAACAGCCGAGTAGTACAATTAAATTCAAATGGAGTACCTACTGAGTAGTAGGCAGTTTCAGACGCAGCCCTTGCCTCAACACACCTGCTGGAGGCTTCTAGTTTGACTAGTAAGAGCTTGATTTGCTGGTTCAGGTGTGTCTAATTGGGGTTGGAGCTAAACTCCGCAGGAAATCGGCCCTCCAGACCGAGTTTGGGCACTCCTGCCATAATGGGTCATGTTATCAAAAAAATTTACACAATTTACATAAAGAACATAAAAAGCATTATCAGCAAAAAAAAAATTAATTCAAACAAATTCTTAGGGCTGGGCGATTAATCGAAATCGACATTCAGAACCTATAATAAATGACTGAATTTTCAAAGTAAAATTTTTCAATTACTTTTCCTACTGCATGTGGAGTCACGTGACCCCGCTCTGTTTACACTTCTGCGTAGAGCGCAGTGTATGGTCTGACGCAGCCTTCATGCGTTCAGCAACCCTTCGCTGTGACTGATGCTGACCCTTCAAAAAATTTAACTAAACATGCAATGACGCATATTGCAAGCTCTGTGATTGGTCAGCTTGGTAGAGTTGAGCGTAGTTGTGTAGAGTAGTGTAGCCGCGTGGAAAAGGCAAAAATAAATAAATAAATAAATAAAAGAACCATTTATAAATTGTAATCGAGTTAAAATGTTCAATTAATCAAGATTTTGATTTGAGGCAAAATCGCCCAGCCCTACAAATGGATTTATCTGACTGTAAAAAAAAATGGGCTATTTAAAACCTAATCTAAAGTGTCTCCCAAGACACCATATTTTAATTTGGTTAGAAAATATTAAGATGTTTGTTCAGATAAAATATCACTTGTTAATAAATCAACGCCTTATCTACATTTTGCATATTTTTTCAATAATGTAGTGGAATTTTTACAACTAATACCATCCGGTAAAGTTGGGCAATTAATCAAAGCTGACTTTAAAAAATGCACAGGTATGGTCCGGTGTGGTGAGAGCTCGAGTCCACTTTAGAACCCCAATGGATTGTGTTGAATGCCTGATCAAAATTGCTTTTTATAGTATTTTCTCAGTCTATATATATATATATATATATATATATATATATATATATATATATATCAGGCACTACAAACTATACCCATTACAACTCCAGTGTACCAATAGGATCACCCAGGGTCCAATTGTCGGGGACACTCGATTCCTTATGACACTGGCGCAGCCTTCATACAGTCGCATACCCTTGCACTTTTTAAAAATGTAACTACACATTGCACGTTTGCACAACATTGGAAGCTGCACCAGAGATGCCTTGAGACGGCATATTTCCTATTACAATAAAATTATTAATTATATTAAAATATTTGTTTACAAAAGAAGCAAGAAATGCTCCGTTTGAAATATTATTTACAGCATTTTCAAGAGTTGTATTTAGAAGAGATGCTGCTTATTTTCAACTTTAAATATGAAAAACATTAAAAATAATATATTTTGTTTCCGAAAGTGCAAGTTATTCATTTTCATCTTTTAATAAAAAAGGTGACTGTGGTTTAAGGCAATGTGTTTTAATTTCAGTTGTTCAACATTGATGTTCAATGAACAATCATAGATAGTAGATAGTGTTTTTCCATCAATTTTTTTAAATTAACACCCTTCATTCAGAAATCTTTCACTTGTAATATGTGAGCATATTTACTGTACAAAACCTGTCAGAGAACTGTGAGGGGAAAAATTTTGTTCATTAATCGTAATCAATTTAAAATGTTCAATTCATTAAAATTTTGATTTCAGGCCAAATCACCCAGCCCAACCATTCGGTTATAAACTTCCCATTATACAAAACCTACTTCAAAATAATTATACTTCAAAACGGTCGTAAATATATTAGAAAATATATTTACTAAAAAATACATCCAAATGATGTAAACAGCACGTCACAAAACAAGACACAGCTGTCTCTGCTTAAACCAAGTCGAATATATTTTTTTTTCCAAGGAAGATTTTATATCAGATAAAACGGAGTGTATTATGATAAAACTCTACATCACTCGAAGCAATATTAGCGTATCAAAAGTATTTAAACTGAGTTATAACCACACAATATGATAATAATGAAACAATTCCGCTATTATTTACATCAAGCGTCACGGGATGTTCTTCCGGGCGAGCATAGGGGCCATTAAGGATTCATCCACTTCCAGTCCGCGTGTTGTCTCCACTAAACAGTGCATACTTCGGCGATACTGACTCTCAATACTTATTTTCATTTAGTAAAATACAAACCCGAATGAGCAATATCTAATTAGTACAAATCTCAGAATTCCTGCACATCATCCGCGCGAACACGACCTGCAAACTGGATGTGCTTGACGTCGTGCAAACTAGGGATCAAGGATAATTTCACAACATCATATAAAACGAAAAGTATCAGTCATTCGTAATAAACAGCAAAAATCAGTCCAAGTCACTCAAAAAATGTGGAAAAATCATTAAAAAGCCATTACTGACATAGTTTAGCCAGGGTTACCCTGGTGAACGCAAGTGTTTGCCGAAACGCGTAGGCACAGTTTTAAGGAATAGTCATGTCTATAGACCATTTCAATGTTGTCATGTCATTGGCCCATGAACATTTCCTGCTTGTCATCAAACTATTTCATAACTGTTACAAGAAGCAATTCAATCATAACAATGTTATCAATGTTACAGTTGTCATAACCTTATTTATCAATATATGGCTTATTTTGGAATTTCAGAAGTCACAGAAATTCAAAATGTAAAACAGAAAATACGTTGGGGCCACTGTTGTTGTTTATATCCCTCAAAATGGTTTATAAAGGCTTTTTGATATTTAAATTTTTTTTCTTTTGATAGCCTTGGACTGATTTTTGCTGTTTATTCTGATGAATCCCTTACCTAAAGAGCACCGACAAAATATTTACGCTACCCCTTTTTGTTTGATTTTGGATTTGTATATTCATTATTATTTATCAAAACAACAGAACGTTAATTGTGTACTTCAACTATAGTTAGTGAAACCATGAGCACTAATTAGGGATGCTCATAATAACCGATTAACCGTTAACTGTGTTTTTAACTGATTAATGCTATAAGTTGAATGATTACAAATTTGTATTATATGTATTATTTTTTTACTATTATTTACTGCATCAGGGGCCGATCACAGTGAACACACTTTTGCGTTGAGAGGGGCATCTTTTGAATGGTTTACTAACCTCCTTGAGTGTTTTGCGGCATCCTGCACGCCTCACGTTTTTGCCGTTGTACGCTGTGAGCTCGCAGTTGAAATAAAATAAACTCCAAGCGGGAAAAGCGTTCGTCAGTTCTTCAATCAAATGAGAGCAGATGCGGGGATTAAATGCATATTTTCTGGGAAGTGATTGATTTTAGGTAGCTTGCTATTTTTATTTGACTGAAAAAAAGACACGATTGGACAAACAGCATGTTCTTATAAAGGATTCAGTCAGTGCTTGCATTTTGTAATCTAAACTTGTCATTTAGGTAAAAAAATATCTCAGGCAGAACTATTAATTTTATTCTTTTATTTAGTTTATTCAGTTTTTCTATGCGGGTGGAAATGCTGCAGGTGACTGAAGATGTGCTGTTATTCTGTATGCTGTTGTTAACATGTTAAAATAAATCAGTATTTAATGTGTCAGGCACAAAATAGACACGTAAATTATTTACGTTTTTAAATGGAAATTTTATATTAATCTGACCAGTTAACCATTAATATTCGGTTAACGGTTATCAAAAGGAACCAAAATGAGCTTCCCTAGTACTAATGTAAACATCACAGTAATAAGAATTAACTACTATTTTAAAATCAACTATTTTGCGACGCATCCTAAAGCAGTAGGCAAATTTACTTAATTTTAACTTAATTTTAGGCAATGCGAATGGCATATTGCTTGGATATCGTTGCCTACGGTCCGGTTCACATCTCTAATTTGACAATAACGGCAATTTAATTTATTTATTTTTTTACATTTTTCAAGTGCCTTGGACTGATTTTTGCCATTTATTCTGATTAATACCTTACCTAAAGAGCACCAACACATTACTTAAGCTACACCTGAGCACTTTTGGTTTGATTTTGTATTTGTATATCCGTCATTCGTTTTTATAAATAAAAACTACAGGACGTTAATCTTCAAACATAGTTATTGAAAGCAGCAAGTATGCATGAGTATTGATGTAAACATCACGGTAGTAAGAGTTAACCGCTATTCTGAAATCAACTATTTTGCGACGCCCCCTAAAGCAGAAGCGAATTTACTTCCGATTTCCGCATGATGTGTCAATAAAACAAATAACTTCATTTCAGGCGATGTGAATGGGATATTGCTTGGATATCGTTGCCTACAGTCCGGTTCACATCTCTAATCTGCCAAAATGGACTACTCTGGGAAAGAAAAGGAAGCCATGGCCATTATGGCCGAGGCGGACAAGAAGATGAAAACGTCGCATTCGTTATTCGGGACGTTTTTTGGGTAAATCATTGAATGATGTCTTTTAGCATCTCAGCCATATTTAATCGCAAAAATATATTTTTAAATATAACTAAATGCTTAAAATGTCATTCATTTGCAAAAAAAAACAATGCTGATGTGTTTTTAAGCAATATTGAATTTATACGCGAATTATGTTTAAAAATGACAACTTCAAACACACAATGCTAGACGTAATTAGCGTGTATAAATCCACTTATATTTAAGTAAATGTTTTACAGATTGCAGTTTTAAACGTGAAATCAGTCGAGTTAGCAAGTAGCATCGCACTGTATGTAAAAAACATCATAATAAACCGAGTTTCGAGCGTTAAACGTAACGTCTCCCTTTCGCGTTTATTTATTTGACGTGACAAGCTACTATAAACACCCACCCACTAAAACATTTCTCACTTTCAGCCTTTTATTCATCAGCACTTTTAAAACTCACCCATGTTCCGTTCGCTGGGCTCCTCCGTGCACAGTCTCTCTCCGCCGTTGGCGACAGTGGGGATGTTGAGTCGATGTTTCACTCTGAGGTGTTTTATCATGTTGGCCGTGTTTGAAGAAAACTTAAATGTCGACTTGCACAACCTGCAGTAAACAGTGCCGTTGAGCTCATTTTTGATATAGTACTTCCAGGCTACGGAGCAATATCGGGCCTGTGTTTTGCCACTGATTTCCAGCTCCTCTTGCTTCATGTTGGCCATATCAGCTCTGAAAACACGTTGTGTGAGTGCAGGAGACAGCTGCTAATAGCGCCGCCTATTGGTTTCAGTCAACAGAATCAACATCCCCTATTGCTCCTCAATATACTGTATACATAACAATAACAATAGAAGTTACAATGTACTGTTAAGTTACAAACCGTGACAAATGAATTTTAACTGAATATGAACATGATACAATGGATTTAAATTAATAACACAAATTAAATACATAACTAAATAAATTAAAATACAAAGTTGGGACAGTAAGGAAAATGCAAATAAAAAAAAGAAAGTAGTGATTTCTAAATGTACTTTGACTTGTATTTCATTGCAGACAATACATTTAATGTGTTTCTCGTGATTTATATTTTTTATTATTGTTATTATGTTTTTCAAAATCAGCATGTATTCTACTTTTGGTTCTTGCAACACATTTCCAAAAAAGTTGGGACAGAAGCCATTTGGGTCTAGAAATGAGGTAAATTGTGTAAATAATGATGTGATGTCAACAGGTGATTATAATTATAATTACTAGTCCTGGCTGTGGAGGAAGAGGATACAGGTACTTGACTGGCCTGCCTGCAGTCCCGAACTGTCTCCATTAGAGATTATGTGGCACATTTTGAAGCACAAAATGCGACAATGAAGACCCCGTATTGTTGCCAGCCTTAAGACTTTGTAGGAAGAATGGGACCAAAATTACACCTGAAACACTTCATCACTTGGTGTGTTCAGTCCCTAAACAAAGTGTTGTGAAAAGAAATGGCAGCATTACAAAGTAATAAATGCTTTACTGTTTCAACTTTTTTTAAATGTGTTGCCTAAACCAAAATTGGAATATATATTTTTAAAATATATAATAATAATAATATTAAATAAAAATCATAAGGAACACATTAAATAATGTTTGTTGTATTGTCTGTAATCAAATACAAATCAAAGAACATTTATAAATCCCTACTTTCCTTTTTTATTTGCGTTTTCAATACTGTCCCAACTTTTTCTGATTTGGGGTTGTATAATAAAAATAGAAATACTCAAGTGTGGAGTAGGATACCTTATCTAAATATATCTCTGTTTACAGAGGATTCAATAATCATGTTTAAAATCTGGTGTGTTTTAATTCCCTTTTGTTTATTTTTAATTAACTCTGAGCAAATAGAAATACAGGCTGTAAATTTACTTTTGTAAATATGACCTTTTCAGCGCAAGCACAGTAGTTTAGTATTGCAAATCTATTAGTTTTATTTAATAGAGCAGGACCAGTGTTACAAATCAGGACCATTTCTTTTGTAACATCAATGAGGTTATTAAAGGTTGTAAAATTTAAATTGCAATCTCAAAATGTTCCCCTGTTGCGTTTTGTTAACTTCAGGAGTTCTTCCAGGGTTGAGGAGGCCTGCGACATGTATGTGAGAGCTGCCAATATGTTCAAGATGGCAAAGAACTGGAATGGTAGGACAAATTGCAACTTTTGCATCATTATATTACGATGTTCAAAACTCAAATGTTGCTTTTTTTAAACTTAAGCTGCAGGAGATGCTTTCTGCAAAGCTGCTCTTCTGCATTTAAAAGTGGACAGCAAGCACAATGCAGCTATGAACTTCCTTGATGCTGGCAATGCATTTAAAAAGGCTGATCCTCAAGGTAAATCACTACTGAAATATACAAATCTAGCAGCATGTAGTGTTTTCAGTTCAAAATGATTTGAGTTTAATTTTAATCTGGTTCTGCTTAAACTTCTTTACACAGAGGCGATAGGCTGTTTCTCTCGGGCTATTGACATCTACACAGATATGGTGAGGAAAAACTACATAAAAATATTAGTAAAAGGTTTGGTTCACCTAAAAAGATAAATTAGCTGTAATTTATTTATTTGAAAATCAAATTAAGATATTTTAGATGATATTCGAGAGCTCTCTCATCCTCCTAGACACCAATGGTCCAGAAAAGAAACCAAAAACATTGTCTAGACCAGGCATGTCCAAACTCAGTCCTGGAGGGCCGGTGTCCTGCAAAATTTAGTTCCAACCCCAATCAGACACACCAGGGCTAGCTAATCAAGCTCTTACTAGGCTTTCTAGAAACATCCATGCAGGTGTGTTGAGGTGAGTTGGAGCTTAAATCTGCAGGACACCGGCCCTCCAAGACCGAGTTTGGACACCCCTGGTCTGAGAGCATGTGTCAACAGTGGTTCAAGTGTAATAATAAGAAGCTCCAAGAACACTTTCGTACACCCAATTAAAAAAACAATAACTTTGTTTACCTATGTCTGATGACCACATCAGGGGCCTCATGTATCAACGCTGCGTACGCACAAAAACTTTGCGTACGCCAGGTTTCACACTCAGAATCGCTCACGTTTGGATTTACTAACAATGAACTGAACGTGGGAATGTGCGCAGCTTCACGGCAGCTTTCTGGCAGGCGTACGCACATTTTTTGTGCGTGTCTGTTTTATTTCCATTGGCGACTCCTAGAGGCAGTTGTGTTAAATTCTTCTCTACAAAGTGTCTGATCCTTGCAATGGCAGCTGTATGAGACGGGTTCATATAGTAGGTATGTAAGATTTCCATACCATACAGTTGACCAGCTAAACATTAAAGCACAATTTGCAGCGGTCGCCTGTTTTCCCAATGTAATCTGAGCAATCTACAGCACACACATTGCTATAAAGACACTATGTGAAGATAAATTTGCATGCGTGAATCAGAAACATTTCCATTCAATAAATGTGCAAATAAAATATGATGCACAAACTTATTAATGATTCCTACTTGTCTTTCTCGTGATAAATAGTGGGCAAAATCTGATATGTAGCGGGGAAAAAAAGAAGAAAGAATTCATCAGACGCTGGATTCGAGCCGAGTTTATGCTCGAACGTGTCAGTATATGATCACATGCTTCTTATGAGGTGCGCCACTGAGACTGCTAAGGGTGCTGCAACATTTTACAGATATAAATCACACTATTTCTTTTTTAAATGCACTCAGTGCGATGTTCAGACCCAACTGTGTTAACCGTATCAGCTAAACTCTCCCACTCTATTTTTTTCTTTTGTTGTTAATTCCGGAGAACAAACTTGCAAATAACACCGCTTTTCTCCGGTCTACCTCCGAAAGCAGCACCTCCAATTCACATTCTGTTCAAAGTTTCTCTTTTTGCTTGATTTTGCCATTGCTTTTTCGTTGGGTTTTCCCATTAGCATAGTCATTAGCATATTCATACGGGGGAGGAGGCAGGGAGGGGTTTTGTGCTCGTGCATGTTGCGCTTAGTTTCACGTTCATTCAGATGTACAAAAGAATATGCGTGAGATTCGGCGTACGCAGTGTTTCATACATCTGAATTTTTTTCTGCGTACGCACATTTACAGCTTTGTGCGTACGCAATGTTTTAGTAAGATTTCCACGCAAGTCTTCGTACATGAGGCCCCAGGTGAGGGTGTGTGTTTACTATGGGTAAGATGACACTTGCCTGTTGCACTGCTGACCTTAATGCCAATCTGTCATAATGTCTGTAGTAAACGCACAGCCTGACAACATGAAGAGCAAAAGAAACCAAAGTTGTTTCCACAGTTTTTGGCACATGGTTACACTTGAACCTCTGAAGCCATATGGAATGTTTCAACAATGTTTTTAGTTCCTTTTCTGGACATTGAACATCCCAAGATCATTACTGTCCATAGAGGACAGCTCTTGGATATCATCCAAAATATCTTAATTTGTTTTCTGAAGACTAATGAAGATCTCTTGGGAGTGAAACAACATGAGGGTAGACATAATTTCAATGTGGACAAGGCAGTGGTAATAGGTAGTGCTGTCGCCTCACAGCAAGAAGGTTTCCTGGGTCGCTGGTTCGAACCTCGGCTCAGTTGGCGTTTCTGTGTGGAGTTTGCATGTTCTCCCTGCCTTCGCGTGGGTTTCCTCCGGGTGCTCCGGTTTCCCCCACAGTCCAAAGACATGCGGTACAGGTGAATTGGGTAGGCTAAATTGTCCGTATTGAGTGAGTATGAGTGTGTGTGTGTAGATGTTTCCCAGAGATGGGTTGCGGCTGGAAGGGCATCCGCTGCGTAAAAACTTGCTGGATGAGTTGGCGGTTCATTCCGCTGTGGCGACCCCGGATTATTAAAGGGACTAAACCGACAAGAAAATGAGTGAGTTTCAATGTTTTGGTTGAACTAACCCTTTAATCACCTTCAGGCAAGATATTGGTGAGCTTCTTTAGTCAAACATTAGCCTGTTTAATCCCAATCTTGTAATTTAGGTAAATGCATTTAACTACTTAGACCTTCTTTGATGTTGTTGGTTAAATTAGGTTTTATACTGGTGGGAATGAGCATAGTCTAAACTGCACTGCAAATCAGATCATTTTCAATTATATTTAATGAAAATTCAACTCAATTATATTCATATAATTATTATTCAATTATTGTTTTACCACAAGCAGGTCAAATGACATCGACATATTTTAATCAAAGCAGTCTATTTTTCCTTTTTTTTTCAACAGCAACACTTTTAGAGCTTCCGGAAATATAAAAAAATGACTTGGTCATAGTTGTGATTAAATAAGTAACAGCAATTCATGAAATTCAAGTGAATATATTATCAGGAGCTACTGGTATTCATTTTATTGTGACTGTAGTGGTGGTGGACATTGACTTGCATTCTATGAATCAACATGGACCACGGTTTCAGCTAAAAATCTTTAATGCTGTCTGGAGGAAAAAAAAAAGTCACCTACATCTTAGCCTGATGTACACTACCTGACAAAAGTCTTGACGTAGATCCCAGTTGTAAGAGCAACAAATAATAACTTAACTTCTGGTTGATCAAGGTAGATTTTTCAGATAAATCATCTGTTGAACTGCATTTCAATCACCACAAATACTGCAGAAGACCTATTGAAACCCGCATAGACCCAAGATTCTCATAGAAATCAGTCAAGTTTGGTGAAGGAAAAATCATGGTTTGGGGTTACATTCAGGGGCTTGCAAGAGATCTGCAGAGTGGATGGCAACATCAACAGCCTGAGGTTTAAAAAAAAAACTTGTGCTGCCCATTACATTACAAACCACAGATGAGAGCAAATTCTTCTGCGTGATAGTGCACCACATTGAAGTTCCTGCAAGCAAAGTAGGTCAAGGAGCTCCAGGATTGGCCAGCCCAGTCACCAGATATGAACATTATTGAGCATGTCTGGGGTAAGATGAAGGAGGAGTCATTGAAGATGAATCCAAAGAATCTTGGTGAACTCTGGGAGTCCTGCAAGAACACTTTCTTTACCATTCCAAATGACTTTATTAATAAATTATTTGAGTCATTGCAGAGATGTATGGATGCAGTCCTCCAAGCTCATGGGAGTCATATACAATGTTAATGTTTTTTCCACTGCAGCATGACTTCATATTCTATACTGTATATTATTTCTGTTAAGTGACAAGACTTTTGTCAAAGCAAAGTCAGACCTTACTGTTTTATTAAAATAATAAAAAAATCAAGGCATGATCATATTTTATTTAGGTAAAATAAGTCTAATCTAGTGGCCTTTGCCTTTCATATAAGACACCAATAGATCAACTAGAAGTCAAGTTATTATTTTTGGTTCCTAAAACTTAGAAACTTTTGTCAGGTAGTGCACTGTAAATTAACAGCAAATTTGTATTTTGTATTTTTAAACTATTTTTAAGTATTCAAATGTATTTCAACATAATATTCTACAGTTCTGCAGTATAAGTATAATAATAATAATACATTTTTGATGGTCTTCACAGGGGCGCTTCAATATTGCTGCAAAACACCACATATCTGTTGCAGAAATCTATGAATCGGAGTTACTGGACATAGACAAAGTAAGTGGGAAATAATCTATTTATATAAGGGTTCGAATGTATAGGCCTGTCACAATAATCAATATATCGACCCATCGCACAACACATGGACATGACCTCAATCATTTTTGGTGATGCAATATATATATATTGCTCATACATAAAAAACTATTTGGGCAACATTTTAGCTGATTGTGGAACATCTCTATCTTTATTGGAGGTGTCCGTGTCAGTATGGTTAAAAGCTAACACTAAATTACCATAGTATATTTTCATGTAGGTGCCTGACAACTGAAAATAGATCTGGTAGCAAATATCGCAGCATCTGTTACGTTTTTACCTTGCACTTTTTTGTTAACATTTATTATAATTCATTTAGTGTATGCGTTTACACATTCTGATTCCAGTGCCTAATTATGATATTGTTAAAATTACTGTAATTTAATTAAATATTCTTAATAATAAAATATTATAATTAAAATGACAATAATTTCGTTTATCGTATTATTGTTTATTATCGAGCGATATATTGTCCAACAAGTTATCGTGGCAGGCCTACGAACGTATTATTAAGTGCCTCAGATAATCGTTGACGCTAAGTTAAAAGCATAAAAATACTCTACAAAAGTCTTAAAAACTGAAATTTATACTTGTATTCAGCAATTCAGCAGATATGTTGTCTCATTCTGGGTCCAATTGGACTTATTTGAAGAATCATTAGTGTGTTGAACTTCTCCTAGCTAAACTATATTTCTAATCAGCAACTTTCTACTGAACATAAGCCATGAATTTACCATGTTATGACTATGTTCACACCAGCTTAAAATTAAAAACTATGGAAAAACCGTGTGTGTAAATGTTAATTCTTTTATCAAAAAATTGTGCATTTTTTGACATAGTCATGCATCTCTTCCAAGTCAGAAAGAACTAAAAATACATTATGTGTATGTTTATAGGCTATTGCTCATTATGAGCAGGCGGCAGATTATTACAAAGGGGAGGAGTCCACCAGGTACTGCCTTTTAAATATGCTTGCTTATCTGTTTATTCATTTAAACCATTAGTAATGTTGTAGATTAGAACAATCCAGATCTGAAATTAACGCATTATTATTAAACTAAATAAGCCTCTTCTAATCTCTCTCTCTCTCTCTTTTTAGTGCAGCTAACAAGTGTCTTCTTAAGGTAGCGAACTATGCGGCTCAGTTGGAGCAGTACCAGAAAGCCATTGAAATTTTTGAGCAGGTTTGCATGACCCGAACTTCATTTGTGTTTATTTATTATATTCACGTTTAACGCTGACTGGCATGTTTTCTCTGTTTCAGATTGGTACTTACTCTATGGACACTACACTGTTGAAGTATGGTGCCAAAGACCATTTCTTCAAAGCTGCACTGTGTCACTTCTGTGTGGACATGCTCAACTGCAAGGTGACTGATGCGTTTACAGTCTGAAGGTATTCAAAATAGCTAATATGTAACTTCCTAGCATTGTTTAACCATTGTGCTTTTTAATAGCTGGCTGTGCAGAAATATGAAGACATGTTTCCAGCCTTCTCTGATGCCAGAGAGTGCAAACTTCTTAAGGTTGGAGTCTTTTCTTACAAAAGTTTTGTGTATATTATAACATATTAAAATAATTGCTTCAACTTGAATATATTTTAAAATGTAATTTATTCATGTCATGGTAAGAGCATAATGCTTTAGAAATCATTCAAGTAGGCCTATCATGATTTCTTTCTTAAAAAATCTTTTCAAAACAAGTGCACTGCTTTAAGAGATTGTTGACCTTATTAACCTAGTTAAAGATATACATCTTCCAAAAAAATTGATTCTGTATTCATTTACTCATCATACACTACTTGACAAAAGTCTTGTCGCCTATCCAAGTTTTAGGAACAACAAATAATTATTGACTTGTAGTGGATCATTTGGTATTTCCTCCATCAACTTACCCCAGACATGCTCAATAATGTTCATGTCTGGTGACTGGGCTGGCCAATCCTGGAGCTCCTTCAACTTATTTTCATTCAGGAACTTTGCTGTGGAGGCTAAAGTATGAGAAGGAGCGCTATCCTGCTGAACAATTTGCCCTCTTCTGTGGTTTGTGATTTAATGGGCAGCACAAATGTCTTGATACCTCAGGCTGTTGATGTTGCCATCCACTCTGCAGATCTCTCACACACCCCCATTCTCAATGTAACCCCAAACCATGATTTTTCTTCACCAAACTTGACTGATTTCTAAGAGAATCTTGGGTCCATGTGGGTTCCAATAGGTCTTCTGCAGTATTTGTGATAATTGGGATGCAGATGATTCATTGGAAAAATCTACCTTCTGCCTCTTTTCCATACGATTAACTATAAATTATTATTTGTTGACAACGAGACTTTTGTCAGGTAATTTAAAATTGTTAAAAAAACAGTTTCATTGTTTTTGATTTTCTGCTGAACACAAAAGAAGATAGTTTGGAAACCTGTAACCATTGACTTCCTTAGAAGGAAAAACAAATACTATGGAAGTCAGTTTTTCAACCTACATATACATCAATAAACCTAACGTTTTGGATAATGTAATGCAAGTACAGCATTTGAACATCTCTGACACTTTCTGTAAAGTAATCCCAATTCATGTTTGTGCATTTCACACTAAAACAGAAACTTCTTGATGCACATGATGAGCAGAATATTGATGCATACGCTGATGCAGTAAGTACTATTAACATATTGTTTCAGATATCTGATCCTGCTCAACCAATATTATGGGTTTAATCATTTTCTTTATAAAATAGGTAAGGGAATTTGACTCCATCACAAGGCTTGATCAGTGGCAGACCACCATGTTGCTAAGAATCAAGAAGACCATTCAGGATGAAGAGAGTGACCTTCGCTGAATGAAGTCGTAAAAATCCATTCTCACACCCATATCATTCCTTTCTTATTATATATATATATATTAATTTATTTATTTACATATGGGTAAATGAAGGTCAAAACCCCTTTACTGCTGAATCCTAACAAATCCTACTGTCTTAAAACTAAAAGTAATTCAACTTTTATCCCGCAGAACACTGTGAAGTCTTTTAGAATGACATCCCCGGTCATAAATATGTGTTACGGTTTTTGTTTATGCCTGTGCAGCTTCAGTTGTTTTAGCTATTCATCTTTTATTAAGGGTTGTAACTTATGTTTTGTCGCTGTGTCAATAGTATATCATGACGATTATAATTCTATAAGTGTGCACATCAATACTGTAACTATAATCAGCTAGAAATCAGCTGAAAACACTAACTGCTATTTTCCTCTATGGAGGAAATGATTAGGAGGTCATCAGTCGTATCTTAGTGAAATGAACTCATTTAAAAAGCGATTCCAAATTAACCCCAAGATACAGGCAATCTAGTTTTTGCATTAACATATAAAAGAGTGATTACATGATGGTGATGTATTTTATATTTTGGCTCGATGATGAGGATATCAGTCCTCTGGTTACTCTGTGTGAAGGTATACTGGTTAACTGCAATGAGTATAGTGAATGAGACCAGATTGTGTTATGTCCTAGTTTTAATTAAAGGGATAGTTCACCCAAAAATAAAAAAATACTCATTATTTACACACCCTCAAGTGGTTCCAAACCTTTATGACTTTCTTTTCTTCTGTTGAACACAAAGTAAGATATTTTGAAGAATGTTGGAAACTGGTAACCACCGACAAACATAGTAAGATAACACAAATACTATGAAAGTCAATGGTTACACGTTTTCAGCATTCTTCAAAATATCTTCTTTTGTGTTCTAAAGGAGTAGAATCTCAAACAGGTTTGTGAAGAAGTGAAGGGTGAACTACTTTTTATGTTTTTGGATGAACTCTTTAAAATATTGATATCATGGTATCACCAATAAGGTTATTTAGGGATGCACTGATATGTAGTGTTTGACCAATAACAAATTTTCTTTAAATTCTTTTAACTCTTTAAATTTGGAGGCTGATAAATTTTATTTTGACATTTTTTTCGACATAATTGTGAAATAAATTGCAAACACACAAAGTGAACAGTTGATTTTGTTGTAAAATTGTAGCTTCAGAAAAGTTAGAAGTGATATCAGAACTTTATTATTCAATTATTCTTTACTATGGTCAACTTTCTTTTAAATAAATTAAAATCTACTGCCTTACCTAAAAAAGCCTAAATAAAGCAATCAATTTAGCTTAACATTAATCAAAATTAAATAAAATATCATTAAAATACTAAAAAAGTAGCAGGCAGCCAACATGTTAATTAATAGGTAGGTATACTGGTTAACTGCAATGAGTACAGTAATTTAAATATATCATTATGCTTAACTATATCAGCCTAATGTTGTTATCAGACTGATAATGATAGCATTAAAAATAGTGTTTATGTCGAAGCCAATGGCGTAATGGTTAGAGTGTCGACACATGCACTCCGGTGCTCACAGTTCAATTCCAGTTCAGTACTTCCATTCTCTCTGCTCCCCATGCTTTACTGTCAATACTCTACTGTCCTATGCATTAAAGGTGAGAAAAAATAAATAAAATAAAAAATAGCATTTATCTGCTGATACTGAAATTGTCGGCGATATATATAGTGCATTCCTAAATGTATTGATATGTTATAACACTCATATTATTATCTATTAAGTATTAGAAGTTACAATCTTCTTATTTATTAAGTTATTCATTCTTTTCATGTTGATCTACACACATTTTCTCATGTTACAACTAGTCATGTGCCATTGCAGGAAATTGAGCATGGAAAGCATGACAGAATAAATGTAATGCACAAAATAAACAGTAGAAGCATGCATTTTTTCATTCAACTGGTTTAAAAAGCTAATAAACGACTTGATTCCCTTAAGTTTTACATTTTCATTTATGTGGACGCACATAATAAATTACACGCATACAGAATCTGACCAACCTCTAGGTTTATTTTTGTGTACTCCTCCATTTTAATCATCATCTTCATCCTCCTCTTCCTCCAGATCCTCAGTTTCCTCCATAGCCGCCGTCTGCTCCTCCATTGCAGCTTTTAAAGCCTGTTCTTCCTCCACACTGGGGTCCAAAGCCTCTGTGGTTTCTGGCCCGCTGGGGAACTCGCTTTGGGGTGGTGGAGGCAACACTGGGGTGAAGGGTTCTCCGATAAATTTCAGCCCCCATCCAATGTATATGTTTCCAAAATTCCTAAAAGAGATAGCAGAAAAATAGTTTTACTCTACTTATCAGGATTCCACATGCTTTTAGTAGGCAATACATTCTGAAGAGCATCTTACTTGCCACTACAGTAAGCATAAGCTCCAGGCCAAAGATTGGAGCGAAGCACAGCGATGGCAAACTGAGGAATGATGTTTGAGGACATCATTGAGCTCCAAGGTGGAGTGTCATTGAGCTCTGTGAACAGAACATATTGTGTGTTAGAGCTCAAGGGGGGCAGCATTTATACGCCAGGAGGTGCTGCAATACTGACTTGCATCTTCAGATAGAGGCGTCAGAAGAGGAGGCCCGACTTCAGGCTCTAGTTCATCAGGTTCTTCCTCTCGTTCTTCATCCTCGGCATCTTCGTCAACATCATCCACAGGCTTCTTAGTTACGTTGACCCATACACAGCGGCCCTAACGTTCAGACGTGTAGAGTAATGTGTGAATGTCTTTAGCATGTTAGATTAAAAAAAGTTTACACAAACACACACGATTTATGAAACACCCCCACTAAAATGTAATCTCGTGTAACAATAGTTCAAAGACAAAGAGTTGTTTGATGACATAACAAAATACTCAAGATCATGTTTAAAGATCATGCTGTAGCCCTAGAACTATAAATAATTATCATTTTAAAACTGTCTACATCGCCACTATCTTTCATATAGTGTATAACATTATCTGTTGTTGCTTTTAAATATATATTATGCTGAATAACGACAGAACATAACTTCACACTGATTTCAACATTTAATTTTCACAAAAAAAGGTTACTTGAAGCATTAAAGTAAACACTTTATAAAGTGTTTATGACCCATCCAAAGATATGCTTCAAAATATTGGGGGGAGGGGGGGGGGGGGTAATGGAGATTTTATAGGGCCATGTACCTGCCTCTTTTGGTTCAAGTCTATCTCAGAACTTCTTCAAAAAATGCTTCAAAATGGGTGTGAATCACTGCAAGCAAGGGAAGAGTGGGCATGGCTGGCAGTGCAGTAGAAAAAGAGAGGAGCGAACAACTGTTGTCGGTTGGCCCACAAAATGAGACACAAACCTAAGGAGACCCATGATTTTATATAGTTTACAAAGTAAAATGCAACAAAATAAACAAGTTTAATGTCCTGGTACATTTGTTATTCGTAATTTCATATTCACATAAGCACAATTTGTTATATCATCATAAAGGTAATCATGTTTAAATAAACACTATAAATGAGGCGGACTTCTCTCCTTCTCAATCCCCAAGTCTAAATGCAGACACAGTGGATAGCAGTGTAGCAGGTCTCCTTCCCTATCTGTTCCAACCATTAGCCCTGCCGGTAATCTGGAGGATTCTAAAAATAGGAGAATGCAGCCACACGGATATAGCGGTGTCTGAATGGTAACAAACTCAACTGATAAAATACGAAATCCGCCATTCTCTAATTCTCGTACAGCTCCCCTGACAAAAATGCTTGGCCCTGACTGCACCACTGGGAAAAAACATGCAACAAACCCTGTGAATTATGGAAACAAACACATAATGTTGCGACCCTTCATAAACAGCTAAATACTGCTTGCCGTTCGTGGACATGGTCTCAGTCACTGGGTCTCACCGCTTGGCAGGTCTGCTTTGCCTTTGAAAGCACACATGCTCTCATGAATAATTAAAAAGCAGGGTCTTCTCATAGGATAAGAAAACTTTGCTATGAATAATAATGAGAAACCGATGCGTCATCACTCTGCTAGCAGATACATTACGTTGCGTTACGTCACCGATTTTGATTCCCCCCCCCCCCCCCCACCAAAATATTTTACTTCCAGAAGATGAAATTAGCTGACAAAAGCTTCAAATGATCCAGTTTTCCCCACAATTAAAGCTGACAGGTGCTGTTGTCGTCTTAACTGATGTGTAACAAATCTGTTAACATTTCAAAAAAATACTCAAGGGTGTCTTGAACCTTTAAGCCAACTTTATTACCTGTGTAAGTATATGCTGTACATGATGGACCCATAGATTCAGAGACTCAGCCATCTCATTTACTTGGATGCCCTCAAAGGTAGGGTTCTCCTCAAAGCTGTCTCGCAGGCCATCGTCCTCACCTTCATCCTCTCCAAACTGATAGAATCCCAGAGGACTAACATGGGTTCCCGCCGAGATTCGTGCGATCTGGGCACGCAGATAATTGGCCTCATTGCCTGGAAAAGGAGGGTAACTCACAACAGGAGCATCAAGCTTGCCTGTGAAGAACCTGCGGATCTGCCGCGCTACTGTAATCTGCACTGGAGTGACCACCGGCAGTCTGACCCACGGCATACCAGGCTCTTGACACACAAAATAGGTGAATTTATTGGCGCCGGTGTGATTTCCTTCTTTTGGCACTGATGCAGATGGCTTGTAAGTGGATTTGGGCAGCGGATCAGCCTGGAAGTAAAGTTCAATCATTTCAGTTAAACGGTAAGATTATCCAAAAATTAAAATCCTGTTATTAATGACTGAGCCTCAAGTCTTTTCAATCACCAAAGACCTACGTTTATCTTCTGAACGCAAATAAAGAAACTTTAGATGAAATTTGAGAACTCTCTCATCATCTACAGTAGGGGTCACCAATCTTGGTCCTGGAGGGCCGGTGTCCCTGCAGGGTTTAGCTTCAACTTGCCTCAACACACCTGTCTGGATGTTTCAAGTATACCTAGTAAGACCTTAATTAGCTTGTTCAGGTGTGTTTGATTAGGGTTGGAGCTAAAATCTGCAGGACACCGGCCCTCCAGGAACAAGTTTGGTGACCCCTGATCTACAGGAATAGTCCCAAAATAATCCAGAAAAGGAACTAAAAACATTGTTAAAACATAGCATGTGACTTCAGTAGGGGTATCAAAAATTATTTGAATTTCGAATATTTGTAAAATGTATTAAATAAAGACACAATTGCAAAAACCTGCATTCTGATTGCTAGGGTTTCACTTTCACTTCACAGATGACAGCCAGTGCTGCCAACTATTTCCAATGAAAAGTAGCTAAAGCCTGCCCGAAAAGTAGCTAAATTTTGCCTTATGATGACACGCACTGATTTGCATATTATCACATAGTATCTGACAAGCATAAGCCTATCATGTCTCTATTATCTGAGGCGCCGTGTATTATATTATATTTAAACATTACATCCAGATGCACAATAAATACGTTCTTATTAACATACTACTTTGCGCGATGATGTCATTGCGTAATCGCAACTCAAAACTTTATGTAGTATACAAAATAATTAATGATTTCTCAAACTGACTGGCCATTTCAGCAAAAACATTTGTAATATGTTCATTTAGATTTGTATGACAAATAGAGTTGTTTGTAAAAGTAACACAAACACTTTTTGAAGTGAATTTTTTATTTTTAAATGTAACACTGATAATGAACAGTTACATTCTTTTAAACAATCACAGCTTGTGTACTTACTGTTTTTAACTTGTGAAATTAACACATTTGTGAAAGTGACAACAATTATAGCACTACTGGAATTTATTGCTACCTAAATTACCAACAATTATACATGTTAACAAATATCAGTAAATTAACAAATGATTAACAAATGAGCCAGCACTTTACTCTACTGAATGAACCCTGCAGCCACTGCTCTATTGAGTCACTTTTTTTTTTAAATGCTAAAAGTAGCCAAATGAATGTTAAAAATTGCTAAATTTGTTGCTAGGTGCTTTTTGAAAAAAATTGCTAGGATATTATGAAAAGTTGCTAAATCTAGCAACAAAATTGCTAAGTTGGCAACACTTTGTGCGCATACATAAAAAACCTGTTGATGGAAACGCCATGATGCGCATAAATTTTAAAAATGCGCATAAATTAACTGGGTAGGATAAACTTTTTATTTGATAAGAAAAGATGCGCATAAACTGCGATGGAAACTCGTTTACCCCACAAACTCCAGCATGCGCATTAAAAAAGGTCATGTGATTTTGTTAAAAGAGATCATGTGATGCTTACAACCTGTGTGAATGGACAAAACGTCAGGCTGAGCACATTATAAAACATCTGGGGCCTCATGTACGAAGACTTGCGTGGAAATCATACTAAAACATTGCGTACGCACAAAGCTGTAAATGTGCGTACGCAGAAAAAAATTCAGATGTATGAAACACTGCGTACGCCGAATCTCACGCATATTCTTTTGTACACCTGAATGAACGTGAAACTGAGCACAACATGCACGAGCGCAAAACCCCTTCCTGCCTCCTCCCCCGTATGAATATGCAAATGATTCTACTTTGCCAAAACCCAATGAAAAAGCAATGGCAAAAGCAAGCAAGAAGAGAAACTTTGAACAGAATGTGAATTGTAGGTGCTTCTTTCGGAGGTAGACCGGAGAAAAGCAGTGTTATTTGCAAGTTTGTTGTCCGGAATTAACAACAAGAAAAAAATAGAGTGGGAGAGCTAAGCTGATGCGGTTAACACAGTTGGGTCTGAACATCGCACTGAGTGAATTAGAAAAGAAATAGTGTGGTTTATAGGTGTAAAATGTTGCAATACCCTTAACAGTCTCAGTGGCGCTGCTCGTAAGACGCATGTCAACATGTTTTGACACATTCGAGCAAGAACTCGGTTCGAATCCAGCGTCTTTTGAACTCTTTCTTCTTTTTGCCCCCGCTACATATCAGATTTTGCCAACTATTTATCACGAGAAAGACAAGTAGGAATCATCAATAAGTTTGTGCATCATATTTTATTTGCACATTTATTGAATGGAAATGTTTCTGATTTACGCATGCAAATTCATCTTCAGATAGTGTCCTTATAGCAATGTGTGTGCAGTAGATAGCTCAGATTACATTGGGAAAACAGGCGACTGCTGCAAATTGTGCTTTAATGTTTAGCTGGTCAACTGTATGGTATGGAAACCTTATATACCTGCTAGAATAACCTGTCTCATACAGCTGCCAATGCAAGGCTCAGACACTTTGTAGAGAGGAATTTAACACAACTGCCTCTAGGAGTCGCCAATGGAAATAAAACAGACACGCACAAAAAATGTGCGTACGCCAGCCATAAAGCTGCCGTGAAGCTGCGCACATTCCCACGTTCAGTTCATTGTTAGTAAATCCAAACGTGAGCGATTCTGAGTGTGAAACCTGGCGTACGCAAAGTTTTTGTGTGTATGCAGCGTTGATACATGAGGCCCCTGAAATGTTGTTTTGGTCCTTATAAAAGGCCTTACCGTTTCAGTATTAGTGTTATTATATTATTAATGACCTCCAGAATCAAGAGCGCCTGTGCTCCGCGTCTGACACCTTCAAACGCCATTACGCGCTCACTTCTGAGGCGCATTCATATAGAAAAGATTGATGCAGCTTCCCCTACTGCAGCAAAAGCAGTTTTTACTGTTGATATCTGGCGCCAGTTAATCAGGAAGTGACGATTCTGTTCGCTTTGACTCGTTGGATGGAAACGCTGCTTCATTCGCACAACATTTATGCGATAATGCAGTTTTGCGCATAAAGTTCATTCGCATTTTTGGATGGAAACATAACTGATGACAGCCAGTTCTGCTAGATTCAGCTAGATTATTATGGACGACACAGAGCTACCTAATGAAAAATATAAATAATATAATGCTGTGATCTGGATACTATAATGCAGAAAGCTATTTTGCGTTCATGCCACACATCTGTTTAAGCGTTACTTACTCCTAATTAACATTACAAGCACATTAAGAATATTATGTTTTATTCAGGAACAGTTGTTTGAAAGTTTATGCAGTTTAAAAAGAGAGTGTCATTTAATTTTAATAAAAGATGCCATGTTTAATCTGGTTTCTATATGCTTATTGGGTTCGCTTGCACACTCTTGTGGGCATAGTAGACAATACAGTGAGTACTTTTTCCTGTTACATTAAGTATTGCCTTTAGAAATGGAAAATAATTTGAATTTTGCTTATATTTAAGATTTTTTCAGCCATATCGGAGGTTCAACTGTAATCATACGAAGCTCCAAGAACTCTTTTTTTGCAGAAAAAAACCCCAGCTGAAAACGAGTTTGTTCGCCACTGCTTTCTCTTGCTTGTCAGGTCGTCAGGGTGCACATTTACAACAGTTTCATCTTTGAATGATTACACTTTTCTGTCTTTTGAATCACTTGTTCTCATTTAACTGTGCAAAGATAAGCTAATATATTAATTTATGTAACCACATACACTGATTCTGCACATTGACTGATTGCTTACCTTTATCGTTTAAATTTAATGTACGTTATACTGTTATAATGGCCATTATTGATTATTAAAACTGATATTCTGCAAAAGAGACAGGGTAAAGTTCATTCTTTTCAATGGAAATTAAAGGAGACAGTTATATTTAAGCCCTGTTTTGTTATAAATATGCAGAGTGGAGATGATGCTCATATAAATATGCAGCTACACAAGGCTGTTTGGTGTCTGTTAATCATAATATCAAAATGAAACAAATTTGACTTATGTTTTGTTTTCATTGTTTAGATAGTGAAACAGCAAGCAGAATGAGGTGAAAGAGGTTATAAAGTACACTGTTGCCTTTGAAGATTTACCCATGCATCAGCAGGCAGTTTTTGTTATGTTTATTATTGAATATAGGCTGAGTGAATAGTGTATTGAATAAGCTAAATTGGCAGTAGTGTATGAGTGTGTGTGTGAATGAGTGTGTATGGGTGATTTCCAATATTGGGTTGTGGCTGGAACGGCATCTGCTGCAAAACATGCTGGAATAGTTGGCAGTTCATTGCACTGCGGTAACCCCTGATAAATAAGGGACTTATGCGAAGAAAAATAAATGAATGAATAGTGTATTTTTTTAGAACTCAACAAATATCTTTATGGACAGTATACAGAAATTAAATTGAGATTAAAGTTTGTACTTATTTATTTATTTCATATATATGGCTTTTGTGTTTTATAGAATATGAGTTGATAAAAATATTGGACGTGCATAGATAGATAGCATTTTGATTGAATTTAGTGGGCCGCTCTGGCCCAAAATGCCAGGGCCGATTTTTTGCCCCAGTCCAGCCCTGGATGACAATGAAGGTTTTTAGGGGAATGGAATGATATGTGGATGAGTAATTAATAACAGAACTTTAATATTTGAGTGCTCTAACCCTTTAATGTGACCATACCTAAAATATTAACAGCAGATTCATTTACATAGGATGCTAATTTATGACTTACAGCCTCCACAAGCTCTGCTTCATCCTTGCCCTCCTGCAGCTCTTCCTCTCTCTCGTCCTCCTCTGGAGTTTGTTCTGTCCCCTCGTCTTCCTCTCCTTCCCCTTCTCTGAATTCCCCTTCCGCCACCAGGTAGTTTCCCTGTGTCCCAAGGATCTTGCCCCAGAATCGACACCGCAAGAGCAGCTGTGTGTCTACCAGATGTTTCAAAGCCAGAAAGATTCTCTGAATCTCCTCTCTCCCCAGACCCACGCCAGCTTGCTCAAAGAAAAACGCAAGTTCTGCAACATTGGGTAAAGGAGAATCTACCTGGAAATGATACAAAACAGCATTTACAAACACACAAAACACATTTTTAATACATTTTACTATAATAAAACCATCATTTATTTTCATAAGGGACTGCATTAGATAAAGAATAATGCAAGCAATATTCCAATCAAGTATGTTCATAAACTATTTGTTAAGTTACAATATATATATGAAGAGTTTAGATGCAAAAACCTTTAAATGCCATCTAAAATTTTCCTCTAAAATGAGCACGTCTCCTGTGTGTATGTTCAGTAACATCATTTTTATGACAAAGAATAAGTCCTTATCCTTGTCTTTAAAATGAAATATCTCAACATAAATGAAGGAGGCTAAGAAAAATGTTATTTTTCGATGGAAATTTCAGATGGCTCTAAGAGGTTTTTGCATATAAACTCTTCATATGTAAATAAAAAATTAAGCGCTACAAATACTTTCCGGATGCCCTATATATATATATATATTATGTGAATTTTCTTTTTTTATATATTTATATATTTTTGAAATGATGTTTAACAGTGCAAGTAATTTTTTACAGTATTTCCTACACACTCAGAAATAAAAGTACACGAGCTGTCACTGGTGTGGTACCTTTTGAAAAGGTACACATTTGTTCTTGAAAGGTTCATATAAGTACCTCAAAATTATATATTAGTACCTTAAAATTTTAAGAGGAACACTAATGTACTTTTTAGATACTAATATGTATCCTTGAGGTATTAATATGGACCGTTTAGGTACAAATTTGTAACTTTTAAAAAGGTACCACCCCAGTGACAGCTAGCGTACCGTTATTTCTGAGAGTGTATGATGTTTTTTTCTTCTGGAGAAAGTTTGATTTGTTTTATTTTGGCTAATGCAAAAGCAATTTTTATTTAAAAAAACAAACATTTTAGGGTCAATATTATTTCCCCTCTTAAACAATATTTGTTTTCGATTGTCTAAAGAACAAGCCACTGCTATACAATGATTTCCTAATTAACCCAATTTGCCTAGCTAACCTAAATTACCTAGTTAACCCTTTAAATTGCACTTTAAGCTTAATACTATTTTTAAAAAGATTTAGTAAAATATTATGTGCTGTCATCATGACAAAGATAAAATAAATCAGTTATTAGAAATTAGTTATTAAAACTTTTATGTTCAGAAATGCATTGAAAAACGATCCACCAGGACCAGAACTGACGAACTGTCTTACCAGCTCCTCCTCATGATCTCCTCCATCTCCTGCCGTGTGCATGAAGAGCGTCTTCTGCTGCTCGGCCAGAACCAGAGCTGGGGATGAGGATGGACTGTCGCGCAAAGTGTCCTGCTTCTCCTGAAGAACACTTCCTTTCAGCTCCAGACTCATGTCTTCCATCACATCAACTGCGTTCTCTGGACGCTCATCCATAACTCTGGTTAACAGCCGTACGAGGTGGTCATAGCTGGAAAAGAAGTTCAAGAGCATCACCAACCAGACATTACTGACATGCAACTGTGAAATACTGCCTCTCTACATTAAGCTACATGCAGTTGTAATTCAGTATCTCATCTCATCTCATCCACTTTTCCGGGGCCGGGTTGCAGGGGCAGCAGTCTCAGGAGAGAACCCCAGACTTCCCTCTCCCCAGACACTTCCTCCAGCTCCTCTGGGGAGATCCCGAGGCGTTCCCAGACCAGCCAAGAGACATAGTCCCTCCAGCGTGTCCTGAGTCTTTCCTGAGGCCTCCTTCCAGTCAACCATGCCTGCAATACCTCCCTAAGTAGGCGTCCAGGAGGCATCCAAAACAGATGCCCTAGCCACCTCAGCTGACTTCTCTTCATGTGGAGGAGCAGCGGCTCTACTCCAAGCTCCTCCCGGGTGACAGAGCTCCTCACCATATCAATAAGGGTGCGCCCTACAACCCTGCAGAGGAAACTTATTTCGCCTGATTGTATCTCAGATCTTGTCCTGTCGGTCATGACCCGAAGCTCATGACCATAGGTGAGAGTAGGAGTGTAGATTGACCGGTAAATCAGGAGCTTTGCCTTTCGGCTCAGCTCCTTAACCACAACGGACCGGTGATTAGACCAAAATACTGCTGCAGCAATCCACTTGTCAATCTCACGTTCTATCCACCCCTCACTCTTAAACCAAACCCCAAGATACTTGAACTCCTCCACCTAAGGTAAGGACATTCCTTCAACCTGGTATTGTTCAATTTAATTAACTAAAGGACAACTTTTCAGTAAGACTACAGTAAGGTTACAGTTAAAAACTACACAGTGTATCCTCTGTTTTTCTATCTTTGTAAACACCCTAATTCAACTAATAGTAAAAATTAAGCTCAGTTTACACTTGAGGTGTAACTGAATAGGCTACATTGCTAACATGAATCAAAGTTATGTTTCAACAGGAACTGGTAGCAATTACTGGCAGCAAGTGGCAATTATGAACATTAATATAGACACACACACAGTACATGACAAATATTTATTAGGCTGCTTGCCCTAAAAGAAAAGAAACACTTTCATTTCCCGAGTCGGGCCGCACATTTCTGTCAAAAATTAAGTCAAATATTAAAAAAAGAGATTTTGATTAAGGACTGCACGTATCAAAATATAAAACAATAACTTTATAAACTCTACGTTTAACTTTCTGGGCAGCATGGTGGAGCAGTGGGTAGCACAATCACCTCACAGCAAGAAAGTCACTGGTCAGTTGGCGTTTCTGTGTGGAGTTTGCATGTTCTCTCCGTGTGCGCGTGGGTTTCCTCCGGGTGCTCCGGTTTCCCCCACAAGTCCAAAGACATGCAGTTAAGGTGAATTGCGTAAGCTAAATTGTCCATAGTGTATGAGTGTGAATGGGAGTGTATGGATGTTTCTCAGTAATGGGTTGCAGCTGGAAGCGCATTGGCTGTGTAAAAACATATGCATAAAAATACTACTGTGACTAAAGGGTATTACAGAACATAAACAATTATTTTGGTATACCAACACTTTTTATGGGAGCTGTGGTGGTCATATCAATGTGCTTGACACTGTAAAGTCCACAACAGTATCAAATAACATATGTACACTGTAAAACTGGTTTACAAATTATTTTAAGTTGCATTTAGGTGTGTTTTCTTTCATGCTGTTTACATAAGCACAACATAAATACAGTTACAGTTGGGATATATGTTTTACTGTTATAGCTTTATTAGTAATAACATTATATATGATCATTATTAGTAATATATAGGGGTCAATAAAGTTATAAACTTAGACGGCAAAAGTTCGTTCATTTTCTTTTTGGTTTAGTCCCTTTATTAATCTGAGGGTCGCCACAGCGGAATGAATCGCCAACTTATCCAGCATATGTTCTACACACAAACAAACTCATTCACTACGGACTATTTAGCCTAACGTTATCCAATTCACCTGCAAATGTCTTTGGGCTGCGGGGGAAGCTGGACGACCCGGAGAAAACCCACGCGAACGCGGGGAGAAAATGCAAACTCCACACAAAAACGCCAGCTGACCCAGCCGAGGCTCGAACCAGTGACCTTCTTGCTGTGAGGCGACAGCACTACCTACTGCGCCACCGCTTCGCCAAGGCAAATGTTGACTTACCAAAACATCAGATGAACGTAACGAAATACTCACAGATTTAAGTTGGTTTTAGTGCTGTTCTTCATCATGAACGCCTTAAAACTGGCCGCGGTCTGCAGTCTGTTATTATTGAGCGCTTCACCTGTAATCTCCATGATGGAAATGCTTACAAAATATCGCCGACTGATGTAAATATGTCAGTCTGTGTTCTTCTTCTTCGCACTAACTTAAACCTCCATTAACGCAAAAAAGTTCTGCAAAAGCAGCAGTGCATTTCCACAGCGCACTTCCGTTGCTGTGTAACTACAACAAACTTGTTGCCAGGCAACTTCCTTATTCCGATAGGCCAGATGCACGATGCGCGTCCGGTTCTAATGGTCAACAAAGGTGGCGCTTATGATACAATGTTTCAACCAATCAGATGTGCGTGCGTGCTGTCATGTATAGAGTGCATCTATATCTATATATCTATACATATTTGTGAATTAGATTTTGTATGTTTGCACGAGTGTTGTGTGGGTGTTTATGCACACATCGAGTTTACATTTATATGTGAGAGTTTATGTGTGCATATGCATAGATCGAGTTTATATTTATGTGCGTGTGTGTTTAGGTGTGTTTGCATGCAGCGAGTTTATGGGCCATTCTTCAACTACGGGCACTTTTAGCCCTGTGAAGTTGGGTAAAAAAAACTTGTTCAGTATTAACGTTAAAGCCTCATAAGCTTAAAGAATTTGTCTAGCTTTAAGATGTGAGGACAAACTCAGATAAGAAGAGAAATTTTAAAAACTTTCCATCGTGAACTGAACAAATGTAATTTCCATCACATCTCAATATACAGCTTTTATTTCAAAATAAAATAAATTATGGAAGTAAAACATTGTCTAAGATCATTTTATATCTAGTTTAAGCAATCTTTCCACAATATATATATATATATATATATATATATATATATATATATATATATATATATATATATATATATATATAATTATACATTAGTCAATGAAATAAACTAGTTGTATGCTGAATTGTACACCTGTCACACTCTAAAATTTAATATTAATTTGGTTAAGAGCTTATTAGAAAATAAATTAAATTAATTTGTATTTTAAACAGAGCATGAACTTATACATTGTGAATAATACACTTTTAATGTGAGATTACAACTTTTAAAATGTTTTTTAAAAATGGGTGTGGTGATGGAAATGACAGTGGTAGAAATGACATTTTATATTAACAGTTTATTGAGAAAAAATTTAAAATGGCTTCACCGATTAGCTTTGAATTGATACTAGCCTTTCATGTATACAAAACACTCTTATTTACCTTCATTTTGTTTGGTTTTTAAAAACATCTTTGAAGGTACAACATGTTTGGATATGACTTTTAATAAATGTATTTCCTTATCAAGCAATATTTACCTTGATTTTTCTTCAAGTGTTGTTGATCAAAATTTAAATTTCCTCCATCTTGAACCTGTTCTCAGATGGCACTATTCATTTTCATAGGAAACCCCTTAAATAATCTTTCACACAAACTTTTAAAAGTTACAGTGTTGTGGTGGAAATGACACTAATACTGTGCGACAGCTATATTTTGTATAAAATGTATATTGATAATAGTCTCACATTAATAGCTATAATATTTTTTAATTATTTCACCAGTGCTTCATTAAGATACATTAACAGATACCAGATCAATCATATTTTTAAATGTTATTTTCATGTTTGCATGTGTTTGTTTATGCAAGGATCAAGTTTATGTATGTGCATGTGTGTGTGTATGTACAAATAAACTCCATACATATGCACACTTGATACACTCTTTACATATACAATCTATACACAGACACACGATAAACTGTAAACATATACACTCCATAAAATGTAACACATAATACTTGTACATATGTATACATACTATACATGAGAACACATGATACACTCTATACATATGCACACATGATACAATCTATACATACACACAATTACATCTATACATATACACGCCATACAAATGCACGCATGATACACTCTAGACATATGCACACTTGACACACTCTACATATACTATCTATACACATACACAATAAACTCTATGCATAAACACTCCAAACATGATACACTAAATATTCACACACAAAACATTATACATGTTCACACAATATACATATGGACACATGATACACACTATACATATACACACATGATACATTCTATACAAATGGACACATGATACACTCTATGCATATACATATGGACACTTGATACACTCTATTCATATGGACACATTCTATACATATACACTCCATACATATGGACACATGATACACTATACATATACACACATGATACAGTCTATACATATGGACACATGATACACTCTATGCATATGGACACATTCTATACATATATTATATACTCTATACACATACATATGGACACGTTCTATACATATACACTCCATACATATGGACACATGACACACTATACATATACACACTCTATACAAATGGACACATGATACACATATACACTTTACATATACACTCGGACACATGATAGACTTTATACACACACATATACACTCTATACATATGGACACATGTACACATGATACATTCTATACATATACAATCATGATTCATTCTATACATATACACTCTATACATATGGACACATGATACACTCCTGTCAGGGTCTTGGATAGAACCCGGGTCTCCGGTGTGAGAAGTCAGTCACTATACCACTGAAAGCTGGTGGAGTTGAAACTCAGCAAACATATACAGACATGAAACATTCTATACATATACACCCCATACATATGATACACTTTATACATATGGACACATGATATATTCTATATGTATACGTTCCATACATATGGACACATGATACACTCTATACATATACAAACATGATACATTCTATACATATACACCCCATACATATGGACACAGGAAACACTCTATACATATGGACACATGATACACTCTAGTCATATGGACACATTCTATACATATATTATACACTCTATACATATACATTCTATACATATGGACACATGCACACTCTATTCATATGGACACATGATTCACTTTATACATATGGACACACGATACACTCCATACCTACGGCCATATGATATACTCTATACATATGGACACATGATACACTCTAGTCATATGGACACATTCTATACATATATTATACACTCTATACATATAAATTCTATACATATGGACACATGCACACTCTATTCATATGGACACATGATTCACTTTATACATATGGACACACGATACACTCCATACCTACGGCCATATGATATACTCTATACATATGGACACTTGACACACTCCATACATATGGACACATTATACACTCCATACATATGGACACATGGTAGACTTTATACATATACACTCCATACATATGGACACATTCTATACATATATGATACACTTTTTACATATACACACATGATACATACATATGGACACATGATACACTCCTGTCAGGGTCTGGGATAGAACCCGGGTCTCCGGTGTGAGAGGTCAGTCAATTGCATACATATACACAGCCCAAACAGTTTCACACTTTATACATATGCACATATGATACAATCCATACACACACACAATAAACTGTAACCATATACACTCTATACATACATATATTTATACACACTCTATACATGTGGACACAATACACTCCATACATTTGCACACATGATACATGTCTGTACTTTTACACTCTATACATTTACTATCTATACACACACACACACACAGAGACACAATAAACTAAACATATACACGCCATACACACACATGATACACTTTATACATATACACTCTTTACATATACACTTCATACATATGCACGCATGATACACTCCTGGGTCTAGGATAGAACCCAGGTCTCTGGTGTGAGAGGTCATTCACGAAACCACTGAGCTACTGGAAGTTGATGAACACTGCATACATATTCAGTTCATACATATGCATAGCTCATACATCTACACACTCTATACATAGGCACACGATACACTACATACATATACAATCTATACACACGATAAACTCTAAACATATACACGCCATACATATACACACACACAATACACTATATTTAGGTATATACACTCTATACATATGGACACAATACACCACACATACAGTATGCACACGATACAATCTATACATATACACACACATTAAACAGGCTATACATATGCACACATGATACATTCTATAAATATACTCTATACATACACACTTTATACATTTGGACACATGATACACCCCATAAATATGCACTCTATACACATACACATTCAATACAAATGGACACATGATACAATCTATACATATACAGTCTATACATATATACACACACAGTACACTCCTGTTAGGGTCTGGGATAAAACCCGGGTCTCTGGTGTGAAAAGTGAGTCGTGTAACATACTGGAAGTTGATGAACACTCTGCATACATATGCACACATGATACAATCTATACATACGCTGTATACATATACACACGATACACCCTATTCACAACACACTCTATACATTTGGGCACATGATACGCTCCATACATATACACTACATACATATACACACAACACACTCTATACCAGGGGTCACCAACATGGTAGCCCAGGTAGCCCGCGAGGATCACGTGTTGCCCGCAGGCCTGTTCTAAAAATAGCTCACCATAGCGCCACTTACCAGTAAGCTTCATCTAAAATAAAAGTAATTATTTAAAAATGTAAATATTTGCAGGGATATATAAAAATAAAGTGTTGCACGTTGATGCATTTAATACAGGGTATTTCCTACCCTGTTAAATCATTGTTGATAACTTTTGTGAGAATCATTAACATAATCAGTGTCTTCACATGGATGAATATCATTACTTATTACCAAAAACATAAAGTATAATTAAAAGTGAATTGAGCAAATTTGTTATTTGAGAAGTGTTTATCAAACTGGTAGCTACCACATTAATCGGTACCCAAGAAGTAGCTCTCAGTTTCATAAAGGTTGGTGACCCCTGCTCTGTACATATACATTTTATACAAGATATACTCTATATGTATACACCCCATATGTACACACACATGATACACTATACATATGCACACTTGATACATTTTATACATATACACACACACGATACACATACACATGATACATTGTACATATACAAATATTCTACACATATACACACACACACACACACAATACACTCCTGTCAGGGTCTTTGGCGTGAGAGGTGAGTCACGTAACCACTGAGCTACTGGAAGCTGATA